CTCCTCCGAAACGTTGCCCTCCCCCTCGCCTCCCCTCCCGATCCCAGTGTCCAAGATTTACCGAGCTTACGTGACCTTTCGCCCGCGAAATTAGGCCGATTCATCATAGGCTGGGCGAATGCTTACGCAGGGATGCACCTCTCTCTCTCTCTCTCTCCTATTCATCGTCCTCCGACACCATACACGCGCGTCCATTCACTCGCAATCCATCGATCCTTCCTCCCTTTATCGATCCCTCCTATTCAACGATTCATCGACCATACCGCGGTTCAATTCTTGCTAAATCTCTTAATTCAAGACCTCGTTTCCGAACGAATTTTAAAAATAACGCATTCCTCTCTCTCTCTCTTTCGTAAAACGATCCGTGTTAATTACGTAACGTAGAGGCAAGCGCGCCACTCACGTAGCAATTCTCAACCTTTTGATGATAATTTGCCCTCGTTCTTTTTTTCTTCCTTTCGCTTCTCGACTTCGACTTTCGTCTCGTTTCTCGACTGAACGGTAAGCGGTTTTAATCGTATTGTCGGCCGGCGTTAAACGGGTGGATTAGGAAATTTCGAGGAGCTTCGATTCGGAGCGGGGTGACAAAAAAAAATGAAATATAACTTTACCAATTTGTTTAATTAATTACTTTTAATATCGTAGATTGTATTATTCCGCGAGTAGCGAGCGCGATACAACGATGGGGAGGGGGGGGTTAGCGATCGCATCGAAAACTGTGTCGACCAGACCGCTCGATATCGGTGAACACGGGGTGATATTCGAGCGAGCAAGCCTGCTTTCGTCGCATTAATTTTATTATCAATGTTTCCCGTTAAACTTTTGTAATTCCCGTGTAATCATTGTATCGATCGATGTCGTTCACGAACTCGTTTTCCTTCCCTCTCTTTCTTCCTCTCTTTCTTTCTTTCCTCCCCTCCACGAATCGATCGCACATCGATATCTCGCGACGATATTTTTTTTTTCCCAGTCCGCTCCGATTCCCAAAATTACGACGCGACGACACTTTCATAGTCGAACACGAGACGAGATATTTATCGGGGCGCGGAATCGAGCGATCGTTCGTCTCGGGTAAAGCACAAAACTGGGTAAACTAAGTTGTTGGGGCAGATTCGGGAGGAGGAGTACACGGTTTACCAATGACAAATGTTGCTCGCTTTCGTTTCCCTTTCGCCAGATGCTCCGATACCGTGAAATCTCCTTTGCCCGTGCATTTCGCGCTTCCCTCATTTTCCTTCTCGGGGAGGATCCTCTTCCACCCCGCTTCTTTGCTCTTTGCTCTCCTCGACCTTTTCCCGCTTTAACGCTCGGTGAATTTTTCAGCATTCAGCTGCTGGCTGGTCGAGTACGAGTTTGTCCAATTCTCCCTCTCTCTCTCTC